TTTTTACAATTTTTTTTATAACTACCCTGTGGTCTGAACAGGGCCACAGGCTCTTGGTGCAATGATAGATGGTGGCCCATTATACCAAGATAATTAATCTCATCATCTCCTTGCATCTCGCCAATTCATACAGACAGGGTCGATAGATCAGGCGGGTTGATTGAGTGTTGCCAATTTGTGGAATGCTACAGGCGTGTAGTGGTATGCATCCATCTGCCATCTTATGACGGGTTATTGTCAATTTGATGGCTGTGTTGTACGCACTAATAGGACTCATAGCGGAAAGTGCCCATCAAAGAATATAGCCTTCAAAACAATTTATTTCTTTTCAGCAGAAACAGAGTCAGGTATCCTCATTGTTAATTAGTTTGTTCAGATCAGCTATGTACATGTGCATGCAGGCATAACTGTAATTGAAACGTCAAAAAGGGCATTTAAAGTAAATATTACAATAAATAGCTTTTGAAAAGTTAAAAAAAAATAAAAAATTGTTAAAAACTTGATGGCAAAGAAGGGGGGGGGGGGGGTATTAAACCAAACCTTCCAATATCCTAAAACCTGATCTTCCAGGAATCAACTACCAGTAGTAGAAGTACATTGTAGAAGTTAATTGTACTCATGCTAGTCTGACATGTTCAATCAATACCATGATCATTTATACCCTGTCACTGAAGAGATATCATTGTTGGGGATGACATAAGTGGAGTTGTTGAAGCTTTTTAAAAGCAGTCAGTCATAGTCCTTTGGGTCTCCTTCACATTTTTTCCCTCCAAGGTTCTTTCCCTCCCTCTGGTCTATTCACTCACTCACTCTACTTTGCTTTCTCTGCAATAAAGCAATACATGAGCATACATAAATTTAGCGCTGTCCAACCCTCTTTAATAGGGTAGAGTGAGAGAGTCCATCCATAGTACAACAAAATGATATTAATAATTGACCAATTCCAATGGTCAGGGATTTTCATTTGAAACATCCTCTCTTTTTGATTATACAAGAAAGTAGCCTCATACCAATTTGGAAAGTCAAGGGCAATACCTTCTATCTAATAAATCTAATTTGTCAAGTGGCCTACATTGTCATGTGATGATGAATTAAATTTTCTTTTCATTCAACGCCTAATAATTTAATGATTCAATTTTTACAGGTGCTAAATCGATTGGTCGGTCAGAATCTGACATAACCCCACATATGTATCCTGCCCAGACTGGTTGTTTTATCTCTCCCATGTGTTTCTTATCCAAATCTCAGAGATAACATTAATCTACATGTGCACTGAACCCCCTCTACCATGCCATTATCGGCTTAACTGTGTAACAGTTATCTGCATTTGATTGTTGATCTAGGACTCTCCTCAAGGCTGCGATGGCATTCAGGTGCATCAAAAAATAGCGTTCTGAAAAGTGTTCCAAAGTGCATACATAATCTGCTGTTTCAAATCACATCTTCAATCCAAATCTGTCTGATATTTTCCCTCTCCAAAACCATTTTACATTTTGAAATAGATAGGTATACATTAATTCGAACTATAATTTTACAGAAAGTGTTATAAAAAACAAATTTAAAAGTAAGATTTCAGCTTTAAGTATTGTTTGCTCAACATTTTGGTGGAGTTAGAATTTGTATGGTGCTGAACTGATGATTTAATAGAGCAGGGCAACTCTTTCCTTTTCACTTCCAAAACCAGGTACATTTATGGAGACATATATACATCTCCCCCAACACTGCAAGTAATTCTTTGAAGCCTATTCCCTACAACCAAGTCCCTGATTTGTAGTTGAATCCTGTTATTTATCTATTACTATGTGAACACAGCTGCAACACTGATGGAAACATTGTTTGATCCCCAGTGAGAACACATCGTCCTATCTATTGTACTGCAGAAAGATATAGGCCTATTTAAATACCCTGTAATACAGAGGGTGTTTCTACATTTGTCAAAGAGATCTGTCACTGACACTACTGCTTTACGGTATTCCTTACAGGAGGTGATGACCATGGCCGTGTTGTTGACCTGCAGAAATATTTACTGCTGGAGACTTTTACAGAGCTCTAGAACTGCTCCTGTGTCTTTACATCTTTTTACCTTGAATCTTTGGTTCTGATTTACTGGGTGATTTCAACAAAGCAGTGAATTGTAGGGGATCATCTTGGAAGGTTCTTGAGAAGGTTATTGCCCTTTTTGACAATATATGCAAGCCTTTGTGAAGTACTTGTAGTACTGCAGTGACCAGGATTTGCAAATAACACCTGCATATGTTACAGATATGTTTTCGTATCTCCACTTCTTTTACCCCTCACATGAATTGGTCTAGAAAATGTTCTTGAAAAGGTTATTGGCATCGCCTGTTTGATGTTACATAAGTCTTTGTCATGTATGTGTACAGTGACAGCAACCTGCGAAATACCTTCAGCGGAGGATTGTAGCAAATTTTTAGAACTGCTTCTGTGTCTCTACTCCACTTTCACCTTGAATTTTGTTCTGATCTATTAGGCGACTTTAACATACCAGGGATTTTGTTTAGAATGTCCTTCAAAGGGTTCTTGAAAAGGGTTATTGCCCTGTTTGATAATATGACACAAGTAAGCATTTGCAATGTACTGGTACTTTGACAGAGACCTGCAAGATACCTATACCGGTATGTACTTTACATTTAGCAAATCTTTAGAACTTTCTCAGTGTTTTCATTTCTTTGTTTCGATCCATCCTGTGATTCAAGAAGATATTTGGATTTGTGGATTATACGTGTTCGTGGTAGCAACAACATTCGGCTAAAGGTTAGTGTCGGAGATCCTCTGTCGTACTGACAAGAGCTTGTGATGCAGATGTTTTGGCAAATCTATAGAACTGTTTCTGTGTTTCTGCTTCATTTTTACCTTCATTGGACCTGATCAGGTAGTTGTTTTTCACAAACCTTATGGTTGGAGGACATTACAGTTTACACTATTCTGCTAGAGCCTTTTACTAAAGGTGTTCTACATGTAGCTCTGCAACATTTTCAGGAACCTGTGAAATATGTATATTTTCCACAAACCTTTAGAACTATTTCAGTATTTCCACCCTCATTCATCTAATTTCAAAAAGCAAATCTTGTGATTAGAGGACAGTTAAAAAATTATTCTGGTAAAGGTCATTGTCCTCTCAGCTCGGACATTCTTTGCAATCCTGTCAGGAGCCTGTGAAGTCCATACAAATGCAGATTTGAAAAACTGTAGATTTTGGCAGATCTTTGGAACTTTCTTAGCGTTTCCACTTCTGTCTTCATCTTGATTTGTTCCAATCCATCAGGTGATTCAAGAAAACCTTTTGATTGGAAGACACTTCGTGGTACTAACAACATCCTAGTAAAGGCCATTGTCCTCTCAGACATTCTTTGTAATACTGGCAGGAGCACTTGACATCCCTACAGCTGCAGATTTTGAAAAATATTTAGAGATCTTTTGGTGTTTCTGCTTCAGTTTCAATTTGATTCATTCTGATCAATCTGATGTATCATATGATTTAAACAAGCAACAATGCTCTGATAAGAATATTGTCCTGTTGGGTATTGTGATGCCTACAGAAACCTGCAAAAACATTAGAACCATAGATTTGGGCAATTCTTTAGAACTATCTCTGTGTTTCCGCTCATCATGATTTGTTCCACTTCATCAGCTGATTTTAACAAGCAAACCTTACAATCAAAGGATTATTTGGAACAGAGGTCCTTATAAAGGTTATTGTCCAGTTTGACAGGTCTTTGTAATACTGGCACAAGTGGTAGACTGGTAGTGATACCCAATCAAAACATTGATCGACACTAACTTGGAATGTAGGAAGGGAGGAGACGTTATTGATTTATATTGTTGAGTAAACAGTCATGTGTGAGAATATTGTAAGTTGGCCTCTTATTTGCTTAAATGTACATTGTAAAATGCTTTGTGCATTATTTGTAGAATAGTGCATGGTTCAATGACCTACATTTACATGTACAGGTGTAATCGGGAGAAGAGCAAGTAACTTTCTTGAGGATCATTCTATATTCTGTCTTGAGAACTTCATTTGCAGGTTTGTTGGCTCTTTTTGAAGATGTTATTTTATTGAGCTGCTGAAATAGGTTCTTCTAGAGGTAAAGGATTTATTAGAAAGTTTGCTATTTCAATTATCTTGTGACTTTTTCCAGTTGATGATCACTAGCCTTTTGTCGTCTTTTTGTGGGGCCAGAATGGCATTAGGTCTGTGTTAAAGTATATAAGAGTTAACACCCTTCTGGCCCTAAAATACGATATGTCTGATAGTGATGATTTATGTGAAGCTTCACAGGTTTTTATTGAGTTCACGGTGATCAATTGCATTGAACATATTATCAAAAGATCTTTCTTTGCAATTAATGTCAGCACAAATTTTTTATCCATCCTTCCCCGTTTGCATTTTGAATGAAAACATTTAATCAAAAGAGAAGGGAATTCAATGCCTTAGGCGGTAATGGAACACTGATTTCTATCTCCTTCGGGTCCAAAGTCTTCCTCATGTGACTTTTGTTTAATGTTTAGGATGATTGCTCAGACATTGTTAGAAAATGAAGTCAAATTTTCCTCTTGTTATACTTTCTGTGATTTTTCTGCAGATATCATTGACTGGATTTTCTTTCATGAAATTCAGAGGCACAACCAACCATGATCAATAATTGTATCGAATGTGATTCAAAATTTAAGGCTTCCTTAATCATAAACAAAGAAATCGTTTCTGTTAATGAATACAATTGAAAAAGCAAGGTGCTCTCAGCAGGGGCAGATTCAGGATTTTTTAAACAGGGGAGGGGTACTTTCCAGGATGAATATCTGAAGAAAAAGAAAAGGAAAGGGGGAAAAGAAAAGATTATTCGTCAGGTAATTTGGGTCAAGTATTTGGAAAGAGGGTCACATTTTTTTATTTTTTTGTTTTGTTGACACTGTAGATTTTGAAAGGGGCACATGCTGGTATAGTGCCCCCTAAATCTGCCAGTATAGTGCCCCCTAAATCTGCCAGTGGCATGTTTACGGAATCTCTCCTGACTTCCTCTTTATCCATTTTTTAGCAATGTTGTGTCAAACTTGCTAACAATAGTTCCGGCAAAGGAAGTTTTTCTGGTTTTGTGGTCTAGTCCTGCTTAGCTGTGTGATTTCTTTTCATTGGATGATTGTGGCCTAAGGATATGCGGAGCTGACCACATGGTGTTTCTGACTTTTCGATGTCAGATTCAATATTTCAGCCATTGGATTACACTAGCTAGCAATATCACAAAGGAGAACCGGTTGTAGGAATTTTGTCATTGGTACCAAGAGTCTATGTTTATACGCACACATGTACTGGTACATGTGTAGTCGTCCATGTACATCTGACAAGGAATATGTTTTTTTTTCTCAAAACAAGATCAACTTTGAATGCGATATGGAACTTTTCGGCTGTATTGACTAAGTGACTTATATCTATTGTGTAATAAGAAATTGGGAATATATACGTCACTGAATTTGCATAACTTGATGAGGTAATTGTGGTTGGTGCTTTACCACTTCGGAATGCCTTACGTTTTGTATTGAGTGGCCCAGCTAGGAGTGGCTTTCTTTAATTGCAGATCTGCTAATGCTGTTATTCTGGTTCATTTGACTACTAGAGATGAGGGATATTTTTTTTTACAGCGATTGTGATTTCTTGTCTAGGGCTTCAAACCAAAGGATCAGAGAGACAAAACAATTAAGCAAGAGCTTAACTACCAAAGGATCAACATAATTAAAAAGAGACTAGTCAGCATCAAGGACAATTTGACAACATTTTTGAGTTTTATTTGAGGAACAGACTTTGAACTCCCACTCCTAAAGCATCCCGCCGGGTGACAAAATACAAAATCTACACCAGTCGCGACATTCAGCCATGACTTTGCCATCGCGATAAAGAACTTCTTGAAAGTGTACATTTACGGAATCGGAGAACATCTCTCACTCAGCATGGATACGGCACGCTATACCTACAACAGCATCGGACGCACGCATGGCTATCCTATTTCAATGCGGTAAGTCATTGATGGGGTTTCGAATTATCACTTTCTACGAGGGAAGAAAATTGAGTTGTGTTACTCCAAAGTTAGTGGGGGAATTGGGTTTGTAAATGGGTTGTTTGCGGAGCAATTCTCTTGAGAATTATATGACACATTAGACATTAGAGGTCATGTTTGTTTGTTTGTTTTATTTATTCACCATGTAAAATAATTGTTTACAGATTATAAAATTCAGTGGGTTGCATCGAGAAATAATACATATTAGGAACAGTGCATAAACAAAAAATGTTTGAAGCGCAACGTCCCTGAAAGTGTCTGGTTTTTGAAGGTGTCATATTAAGTGTCATGTACTTTTACTTTTACAGAGTTTCTGTTGTTTATTATTGTTCCAATTCTTGATTTCGTTGATATCTAGACCCTACATGTCAAGTTAGAATGTTTTCCATGTATCAAATTCACCATCTTGTGTTTTTCCATGCATAGCGCGCATGTGTACAATACAACATCAAAAATATACTGTATCAGTTGCAGAGGAGAACTCGAAGATGTTTTGATATTATTCATATTATTATGATGTGGGTTTATATTAGCATCTCAACCTGGAGGCAAAATTGTAATGATAATAATGCTCTGGGTTTATTATGGCACTTTATGCATTGACAGTGTCTATTTGGAGATGCATGTACATGTATTTTCTTTCTTTAAAGGTAATACAACGTTTTGGTATGGGGTCATGAATTTGGTTCAAATTAACATATTGGAAGCATATGTGATCCTACAATATTCAGTAACCGTTGTCGCTGTTGAAATCGAGTCTAAAGTGATGAAAATGTAAATAATAAGCTGTTCATGTTGTATAGCTCCCTCTCAAGGTCAAGATATCAATTTAGCTATAAAATAATGTTTCTTGACTAGAATCGACCGATTGGCTATTCCCATTTGGAAATTAAATACCACAACTACATATTCTGAGATTTTCATGGTCACAGCTACCATTGTTTGGCTGTTGGCGCTATTTGAAATTTATCAAAATTTACCGGGAGCACCGGTAAATTTTTTAATTCAAATTTTCTCGAAAGCAGAGGTGTTTTAGGGGCTAAATTTTCTAGTGCTTATAATACATCCAGGGGCATCCAATTAATCCAAATATATACAAAATCACTATCCAGCCAATTTTCAAAATTTACCAAAACTTTGTATAACCTTTAAGGTCATCGGATTCAGGCTTGCCCTGCACACATTCTCCACTCCCAACCTTTGGATTGAGAATTTTGAATGAACCAATATACCAAGACACCTCCACAATATTTTAATTTTAATACAAAGGTTTATATATTTACACATTTCTTGACACTATCAAAACATTTCTATTTTTCTCAAAGCATTGCTAATTATCTATTGTTTCTGCTTTGATTGTACACATAGAGGCTTCTAGCATATGTGAGACATTGAAATAATCTAAGAGCAGAGAAGTTTTGGTTTTATTGTGTGTGTGTGTGTGTGTGTGTGTGTATGTTTTATTAGTAACATTTTGGTCTGTTTGGGCCACAAGTCTATCACTTGTCAGTCATTTTTGTTTTTAATTTAACACAGGGTAGACTTAATCTGGCTCTTAGCAGACCATTTCATCCTTTTCATGAATCCCAATGCCAACGCTAACTTAACCAAGAACAGATTTTGCAATGAATATTTTTTGTTAATTCTTTGTGACTGATGTGGGGAGCTCATTGTGTTTCACCAAAATTGAAAAGCATTCGGTACTTAAAGATGTCAACTTCAGAGTTCCTTTGAGAGCTCGGGAGTTGGACGAAAAATAGGTTGATCTATCTCTCTGCTTTAAATGCAAAGACCCACTTGACTTGTTCCTCCGAGCCCAGTCCTACTTTTCTAGATCCCCATCCCCCACGCTTCCATTAATAATTGCCTGTGCTCCTCATCGCAATATTGATTAAACGATGCTCCCTTTTTTTACATGGAGATATCGGTGTCATAATTTATGTTCCGTCCCGAGCCCCGCGCTTCTCCGAGCTAGAGTGTCGGTCAAGGCCTTTTAGGGAACTATATCAATAATCCGCCCAAGACATGCGGCGGGCCTTTCTCCATTTCCCAGTTGTTCAATCAGCGTGCTATTTAAAGACAGTTCATTGACTCGCCTGTGTTACTACGCTCAATTAGTGACGATGTATATGGATGAGACCGAAGCGATCCCCCAGTCGATCGTTCAATAGTGCATAAATATTATCTGCCAAGCTCTCATCATGTGTGAGCTACATACAGTGAAGGCCTTCATGTTCATGTCGCCATGTGAGGAAGACGTGAAGTCCCAAAGATGTAAAAGGAAATATGGTTCATTTTCGTGTATCATGGTAGTCTTGTTCTTAGAATCTCTGGAGATAAACTACAATATGTTTCCTCTCCACTATGTTTTGTCTCCTGAAAGCCAAAAAGGTGTTTTAATTTGCTCATACTTTGTTGGAATAAAGTAATTAAACATACATCTTATGATGTAGGAAGGCTTTAATTTTCTGGCTTAGTTGCAGCAGATGATAATTTTACTATTTTACTATGATAATTTTAAATTTAGTGTAAGCAAAATGATAAGATGAAAAAAATACCCCCCCCCCCAAGAAAAAAATCAACCTAAAATGTGCCAGGATCTGCGCGCCACCCATGAACCTCTCACCCATTAATGCTATATAGCTCAGTATATATACACCTGTCCCTAAACCATGGACCTACTACGAAGTAGGTCCATGCTTAAACCCACACCAGCTGAGAAAGAAATACAGCGCAGACGTGCCTGCATGCACTCTCACTCTTTATAATATACCACCAATTCCAAAACAAACTCTGTTCTCTTCTCCCAGTACCGGGGGGGGGGGGGGGGGGGGGGGGGGGGGGGGGGTATCCAGTCCTTTGAATCAAGATGGGCGCACTACACAAGAGCTTATATGCTAATGCCTGCAGTTCAGCACAGGGGTGCACCTTCAAACAAATGCTGAATATCACTGTTTTACTATCGGGCCATACAAATTGTTTTTTTTTTTTTAATTTTAAGAATGTGCTTGCAATTATAAATGATTCCCTTATTTATAATACAACCAATGATATTCTTTTTGGTAGGATATTTATCAGGAAGGGCAAATTAACCCCTTCCCCCCCCCCACCCCCGCCTGTTCTTCATATATGCTAGTTCTCAGTGCCCCACTCACTGTCGACACACCTGCCCTCTCCCAGATGTTGTGCCGAATACAAATTCTTGTGATTGCGCCATCAAGAGATATTGGCTCGCTCGCATGCCTCATTAAAGGTGGAGTGCTCTTGAAATGTTCTGCTGATCCATAACAAACGATAGATCTATACGGAAGGGTGATATTTGCCATCAGTTTATTGCCGAATCCCTCGCCTTACGATCGAGAGTCTTTATTCTAGCCTTTCCGATCCTGCCCCAATTCACAGTACATTTATGGACCTAAGATACAGAGAGATTTGCAGTGAGGAAAAGCTAGCCCTTTTCTTTACATCCAGTGCATTGAAGAAAAAAATGCCTGATAAAAAAAAGTATTTTATGGGTTGGATGCCAGATCATTCAAGTCATGTGCATCAAATAGGATCTACATAAATCTGAATTACTCATAATATTTTTCATTTTCATTTTTCATTTTTTATATTACATAAATACAAATATTACCCTTGTAAAATTAGAATGCATACTCACAATGTATACCGTAGTTAATATGCAAAATATTTGTATGGAAGAGCTTGTTTTAAAATAAGGTCCAATGTGATGTAGAAGCTCAGCCTGTAGGCCTGAACAGTCCAATTTTCCACTCTGACATGGAAATACTTTGCAGAAAACATATTATTCAGACTAAATATTCTCTTTTTCACATTTACAAGAAAAAATATTAACAAAATATGATTTTTTGTTTGTTTTGTTCTGAGATTGTATTAAGAGCTTTTCTGGAACTTTTTAAAATTTTAAACCACTCTCTGTCCTTGATTTTTAGTAGTCAAATCACTTTTTATAATATAAATATTAATTATATCATTTCAAAGGAGATTTGCTTTTACAGTCCATCAATTACTTTTTTCTCCTTTCTTAGTAAATGTTACACAGGCTTCCTATGCCTGCGCCGGTTCAATTAATTAAGATTAGTAAACACGGAGATCCATTAAAATACATAAGTCTGAAACATATATTTTGTGCCAATGATAATTCCAAAGAGGTATTTATTAATATTCAGTGTCAAAGGTACACCGATAATAAATTCCCAGTGTGACAACTGGCATTTCGATTTCAAACAAACAATTCTTACAAAAACAGCTACATGCAAAGCTTTACAATATGTTGTACAGGTATACAACAAATGATAGAAAAGGAGCAAAGTAAACTACACTGTACATTAGAAAAAACATCAAAGAATAGAAGAAAAGAATAGACGTTCATATAAAGTACAATTGATAAAACACGAGTCGTTCGTCAATAAGCACTAAATACATCGATCAGGCGGAGAGCGTTGCCTGAACAACGACAGCAGTCCCAACTCTTGTCCCGAGGGAAATGGAAGTGGAACCATGGTGGAACCATGGTGGAACTCTGTTAAGAAACAAAATCAAGGCAGGTCTTAAAAAGCTGCGACATAGTAACTTCTGGGGGAAGTTACATCACACGTCTATCTGCCTTGAAGTCTAAACTTGCTCTCCTACTTAATCAATAATAATTCTTCTTTATATGGAACACAGTAATTCAACAAGAGTATTTATCGTCTTACAAGTAGTTATTGGGCTATCACTAAACTATCTAATCAAAAGTATTTTACAATGACTGAAATATCTATAAATAGGTCTGGCTTGTGGAAAGTGGTATCTTAATTCATACACAGTCACAACCATCTTGTATCAAAAGTTAAGGGACAAACACATGAAAATATAATACAATGGGTTTTCCAACACAAGGAGAATCACACTAAACAGTATCGTACAATTCATTCAAATTGCATGAGGATCTTATG